AGGCAGAATGTATCTATTGGATTCAGGTCGAAGATGGTATCAATGAAACTAGGTCATGGTGGTGACAGTGAGTGAGGTTTGAAGTGGGTTGTGACAATATCAAGGTGTTATAAATCACAGTAGTCAGCATTGGAGACTGGTGATGTCAAAGCTGGTCCATCACCACATTCCAAGTATGAAGAGGTGGGTAAGATTAGTGAAGCTTGGGTGATGTCATGGTTGTGATGAGAGAAGCAATCATGCTGGTTTTGGCAACAGTACACCTATGTGTCAGCAGCCAGCAACTGTGTTAGTCATTACCAGGGGCCTTCTTTTAAGCAAATCTGGTAGACTCCATGGTTGTCTCTTTTTCAGGCAAGAACGTTCGTAATTGGCTATTGTATTAGTTTCATTGTGGAGATTGTTTCATGGATCAGATGTGATGCTCAGAACCCATGTGCAGAAAACAACTTTTTTTATTTGGTGTTTTGCCTTCTTGGCACTGATATCTAGCCGACATTCAGAGTGAAGTATAACAATACTATATTTTTTTAGTACCTAAAGAGGGTAAATATTAATTGTAATAATACTTCTGAAATATACATGATCAAAAAGATCATAAAAGAAATAAAACAATTACCACAATGGATGTTTTAATCTTTATTCATATATTCATTTAAATATTTTACAAGCATTCAGCAGAAAATATTAAACTTCTTTTAAAAATGGTGCCTTTAAAAAGATAACCAGTAATTTTTTTCTCCCCAAAATATAGAAAAACATTCTAAAATTGTCTGTTAAATACAAGGAGAAAAGTAAAAATATCAAAACTAAGTAGACAATATTTTGAAATATTTACAGATGGATGTATAAACAGCATCAGCACAAACATTAAAACAACATTAAAACAATGAATAAAAATAGGATGTTTTTTTTAATGTTTCAATATTCTTTAAATAATAATTAAAGGTTTTCCTGCACTCAAAATCATCTTGATTTAGACTGGCATGTAAAGAAAACTGGCAATGTAACTTTTCAGAGAAGAAAATAACACAAATTTTTCACTCAAGCAAAATTAACGTTATTTCAGAAGTATATATTTATTACAGCTTTTACCTAGGAGAAGAAAACTCCAAAAGAAAACTTAGGATGTTATTACTGATTATCCCATCATTTTTTTAATCTCTGGTTTAGTGTAGGGTCAGTAATATGCATAACCATCTACAGCTTAAAAAAATGTAGGCCCAGTGGTGATTCTGCATGTACACTGCAGCTGATGTGAAAGAGCTTGTAGCAATTATGAAAAATCCTTCAAAATTATTTTCACAAATCAAGACATGATATTTTAATTCAGTACAATCAATCCATCTTTCAGAAAGTATATTGTATAATGTATTTTGATTCTCAATGTCTGTGTTGTAAAATATTGAAGAAATCACTAAAAAACACCAAACAGTTGAATAGAAACATTGAAATAAAGTAAGTTTGTATTTGTGTGTGTATTTTTTTTAAATCTATGATTTTATTTCATAACATTTAAATGTATAGCCTTTAAAAATTTCATAAAGTGTATTGTGATATTTTCATTTGTTCGTAGGTGTGCCATTGTTTAAAAAGGTTGAGAAATATAGATATATAGATAATAATGTTGACACTTTATTCAATACCAACAAGAAAATAAAAATATATTTGCTACAAGTATTTAATGTAACAAATCATAATTAGCTAGAAAGAAATTTTAATTAGCCATTCACATTACTCCTCGTTCAGTTGCTAGAGGTATGCTGATTATTAAAATGCTAATCCTGCATTTAATTTTCAAGAAGTTGATATTTATCAAAAATTATATTTCGGTTTGATTTATGATATCTTTAATAGTAGAATTTTGGTTCAAATATTTGTTAGAGTAATTTTGAAAAGAATTTAAGACTATCACAGGATATGTATTTAAACAACAATTTCTACTTAGCATTTTTACTGATGTGTTTCTAAAATTTATTATCTTTTGTTAATGTGAATATGAATTTTGGCTCTTTTTTCTTTTTTTAAAAAGATACTTGCAGATGCATTTTAGACTTAAGTTTATATAAACAGTGCTAAAATATACAATAGTCCAAAATGAGTGGGGAGGGAATTCAGTTTGGAAATTTGAAAATTTCTTAAAAATGTAAATTTTGGATAAACCAGTTCTTAGCAAATTAATATTTTAAAAGTATGGTAGCTGTTATATGCCATACCCATGAACACTAATGGGTATGTCACAATCCTCATAAATACATTGGACGCTATTGTAAGTGGGGGTAATATGCTGTCTAAGTAGTCCACCATTAGCAGTGGTTTACCTACTTCCCGCCATTGACAAGTATTGTATTTAGTTAATGTTATAAAGATTACCATTTCATTTCCAACCTCCATTTTGGTTATTCCTCATTCAGTAACCTTTTCTAGGTTACAACAGTAGCTAATTACTAGAAAGAAACAAATAAAAATGCAATTTCATTGTTAAAAAACAGACAAACATATTACAGATATAATTCTTTTAATTGAGAGAGAGAGAGAGAGAGAGGAAACAATAAATGAACAAAGCTGCATAAATAAAAAAAATAAATCATATCATGTGTAAATTAAGTGCTTTCAACTATTACACATTCTTAAAGTAGATGCATTTAAAAAATGTAGAAACATCTAAATTTTATATTCTTCGTATATTAAGTGCTAATTCTTTATTATATAAAAGATATAAAAAATATTTCCTATAAATTATTAAAAATAAGAATTTGAAATTGGTAACCAACCAAATGGAGTTTAAATGTTCTTTAGAATTGTTTTAAAACCAAACTTTAAATAAAAGGAGGTCAGGTATCAGAAAAGAAGAACCACTCAATACTTTTTTGTTAAATTCTAGTCTTGAACAATGGAGGATCCAAATCAAACAAATATTATTTCTTTAAAAAACAGAAAATAAAACATTTTTGGACATTTTAAAACAACAAAATGTAATATTCAGTCATAACACGTTTTTATTGCATAAATTCATTTATTGTGAACATAAAAAATGACATAAAACAAAATCAAATTATACAAATCTCTATAAAAATTTATTTTAAGAATATTTTCTGATATATATTAAATTATATACAATATTCTTAATTTTGTGTTTCATATATATATATATATATATATATATATATATATATATATATACACACACAAACACAGAGGAATGTGTGTCTTTGTGACTTGTTTAGAAAAGTCATCTTATATATTTGATAAATTTGCCTTAAAAATCTTGGTATAAAATTTGAAAATAAAAGTAAGTATTTAAAATCAGTTTCAAGCTCTGACAACTGAACTCCCTTGTTTTGTTGATGTTACCATGTTTCAATTGACCCATTCTACACCCCTTTTACAGGTGAAGAATCTATAAAGGAAAGAGAAAGGATATTTTTCTCTCTTAACCCTTTTTTGTGGAAACATTTCTTTATAGCTTCTTTTATGTGAATAAGAAAGAAGCTATAGTAACAACACAAAGTTGTTCAATTGTCTGATCAGAGCTTAAAATGTTTCATTTAAAATAACTGCAGTGTTAAAAAGAGAATAAGAGATTAAAAAAATTTAAATTCAGCAAAGAAATTTATATTTTTATAATTTCAGAAAAATATGAATTTATTTCAAATAGAATTTTTTGAATATCAATATAAGGCACAAATTTGTATTTTAAATTAGAAAATATTAAAGCTGTATTTTTATGATACAGACTCGTTTCAAAAAGTTTTACAAGAACAAAAGAAATAGAAAATATGTTTCCTATCAATGTGCTAGAAACCTATTGTAAAAGCAGTAGCAGTAATATGTATCTTACAGCAAATGAAAATTATATTAAGAGGTTTGCAAAACATTTCAGTGAAAGTGTTTTGTGGCAATAAATGATTTTTAAAATAAAAATAAAAATAAAAACCATGTTTATATAAATGAAATGAAAGGACAATAATGTGATAAAAACTGAAAAGATTAATAAGTAACTTTGAAAAGAAAAAAAAAATCTCCCCATGAAATTAAAAACTAATTTTGTAAACAATTCTAAATTTTTCCTTGAACAGTTTAATATGTCTCACTTTTAAATCTACTGCACTAATCTCCAGAGCAATAAAAAAAAAAATGTATTTCCATAAAATCTTTCCAGAATATAACAAAATTTTCTGGAAAAAACTAAAAACTTTTAATGAGAATCATCTCAGTTTGTTCAGTTTAAAATATTTAATTTTATAGATGCTTTGAAGATAAGGAAAAAAATAAATATATTTTGCATTTGTTGTTATAAAAATCTATAAATTTCATAAAAATATCAACAAAAATACAGGGGAGAACTGATAAATTCAATTAAAACAATTTATCTATACAGTTGTATAGAATGGTCTGCATGTGTTTTTGTTAACATATATATTCAAACACAAAATTGGGAATAAATGCAAATTAAAATAAATTTATCATATAACAGTTCAAATTTTAACCATTCAAAATCCACCAATAAAAAAGGCTGGATTTTTGGCAATGTTTATGCATTATATGAGGGCTTCCTTCTGAAAGGAAAAACCCAAGGCACATTTTTCTGTGACTATAGTCTGGATAGTGTAAGAAAATAATTAAAAAAGAAAAACTTACTGGAAAGAATAATAAGACATTTAAAATTACTTTCAACTTAAATAAAAGATATTCTCTTTATACCAAAAAATATGAAATACTTATTCAATGTTTCATTTATTTAAATTATAATCAATCCAATACCACTATTTTTATATTTCATTGGCTATAAAAATAGGATGTTGTTCAATGGCAGTCTGTGCATGGAAATATTATGGAAGATGAATATTCCAATGGAAATAACCTCTCAAAACTTGTATTCATTGTCATAAAAACAAAAACACAAAAGTTAAAAGCAATGAATAAAATTTGAAATTAAAAATTTGAGGCTAAAAAATGTTGGTTACTTATAGTAGCTATTTTTTGCTTGAAAATACTTCTCAACCTAGAAAATAAACAAAAAAAAATATTTTGTTAATGTTTTTATATTAAAAGTACAGAATAACAAAAGTATTAAAGAAAAAAGAAACCATTACATCAGTTATATTAATGCTTTTAGCATTAATCAAATTAAGAACATCCTTGAATGTATTAAAGTACCAGTTTGGCTTAATGTCCTCAACTATCGTTGTTACTATCACAATGTTTTGGCTGTTGTGCTCTCTGGCCTTCTTCATGCATCTGTTGATAAGGATAACCTTCAGAGAGTTTCAAACTAAACACTTTATTTAATCTATAGGATTAAGTTCTTGTTATGCTGTCCATGTCTAGGGATATCTAATCCTGTTCCTTATTTTAATACTGCTCAGTTATTTCTCACCCTATTTCCACTGAGTCTGTATTACCTGTGTGGAAGGTACAAAATAATAACTCCCTTTACCCATTCCCTTCAAATTCGGGTGAGCTGAGGAAAAAGATGGAAAGAAATTTGCGAGTCTATGTGAAATTTCCTTTGGACCAATGAAGACCTTGTCTTCACAGAAATTAGTTGTTGAGCCTAGAAAAAAGAAAGAAAAGAAAATAGCAATCCTATGCAAAATCCTTTTTGATATAAAATAAGGAAAAAAAATAGATTAACAAGAGAAGAGTGTCTAAAGTCATGTGAAAAGTTTTGTTTCTGCTCATGCATCCAAATTTTTGCCAGTATCAAATTACTCGCCAATTATATTACCAGTCCTAACCAAGCACTTGGCACTTCAAAGAACTTTATTTCAACAATCCAAGAAAGCTAAATATTTCAAACTATCTCTCTTCATCTACTTTTGTTAAAATTACCTGTGTGTTTCCTTGTTATTATCATCCACCATTAATCTTCTTGGCATGGGTAAACCAACTGTTCATTTAATACCAAAACATCACACCATAATACCTGAACCAGGGATTGAACTCGCAATTGATTTGCTAGTGGATTAAAGTGTTGGTTCATGAATTTAGTTGTATAGTAATTGTAAATTTAATCAGTGAGCTAGGTAGACTCAGACTAGTAGAAAAAGGACAAACATTGACAGAGCAGTACTTAAAAAATATATCCCTAAAATGGACAGCTCAATGAGAAGAACAATCTATTCCCATAGATTAAATAAAGTGTTTTGTTTGAAATTCTATGATGGTTATCCAGATTGGCAGACACTTGAAGATGACTGGAGGAGAAAACATTCAAAACATGATAATAACAACAAAGATGAAGACATTAGTCCAAATTGTCAAAGTATTATCAAATGGGATTTATGCTCATTTAAAAGAACCTTAATCTTACAATTTGAAGCCATTTTGTTGATAAAATATCTCAAGCTAAAACTGGATATTTAAAATCAAGGATTTGAAAATCTATAATTGCAGATTGCTTGGTTATCTGTTCATAAATTATTTAAATAAAAATTTGAAAAAATGTACAATTTGAAAAAAAAACAAAAAAAACTCACCTCTAATCCAGAGTTGAAATATCAATGTGAAGCAAGAGCAGAGATTTGTATACAATTTCTCCTTTTTTGTTGATGAAATTAAACTGTCGATAACCTGAAATTCAACAGAAATCATAAATATACAAGATGGAAACAAAGCCTTCAATTTTCAAATCTTTTCTTTTTTTTACTACTCTTCCTACAAGGCTCAAGAGGGTTCGTCTGTGGTGTTGTATTAACATAAGAAAGAACAAGAAGTGAAGTTCTTGAAGCTATATAAGAAAGATAATAGCTAGCTCTAGACTTGAAGGGGTCAAGATTTAATTAATGAATAATGGAAACAATAGGAATGTTAGAAGTGTAGTGTGAAAGTAGACTTTAGAAAAAACTTGAAACCCAATCCTAAACTGAAAACAAGGGATAAGCCTCTACTCCTGCTAAAAAATAAATGGGGAAGAGAGTAAACCAGATGATAGACAAACCTATCTTATTGGTTGAGGGGGAGAAAAAAAAATAATTAGTGAACGAAATTTCAGAGTTCAGGTGAAGACGTTAGGAGTATAGAGCTGAAGTAGACTTTAGAAAAAACTGAAAACCCAATCTTAAACAGAAAACAAGGGATAAACCATTACTCATTAAAAATACCATGGATGAGTGTGAGCTGGATGAAAAGCAAACCTTTTAACAGAAAATGATGGATGGATGGATGTTGGATTTAACGGCATGTCAACTCCTATTTGGGTCAATTTATGCCGAAGCCTTATTAATTTATGAATTTAAGTTGGTTATTTTGTATAAAAAGATGAAAGGTTGTTGGGTTTCATAATTTTCTGTATTTTTTGGGATTGCTTTTTGTGACCGTTTCTGATTGTGTATTTTACTGTTTACATTCATAGATGCATATATATGTCTATAAGCATATATATATATACACTATTTATATTTTATTGAGGATTTTTATTTCCTTGAGAAAACTGTATATTTTTTCTGTGTCTGTATTTTTGAATATTTCTTTTAAATCTTTTCCATTGAGATATTTCTGTCTTATCCTAGTTATGATTTTGCATTCTGATAGAATATGTCTTATTGTGATTAGGCTTCCACATTTACATTTTGGTGGATTTGTCTTTTTTAATATGTGAGAATGAGTTAAATATGTGTGTCCTATATGTGTTCTGGTTATGACAACTTGTTTTTTCCGAGTATTTCCAAGATCATTTCCCCATTTTCCTACTTTAGGTTTAATTTGAAATAATTTATTTCCGGTTTGGTTTTTCCATAGATTTTGCCATTTGTTTCTTATGTATTTATATATTTTAGATTTTAAGTCTGTATATGGAATTTGAAGATTTTCGTCAATTGTCATTTTTAAAGATGATTTAGCAGCATTATCTGCCTTATCTCCTCCTTGGATGCCAACATGGCTAGGAATCCAGCAGAAGATGATATTTTTGCTTTTTTCCATTGAATGTAGTTTATATAGAAGACTTTGTATTAATGGATTTTCCAGTCTTTTCCCTTTTAGGGAGGTTAAGAAAATGATGGCGCTTTCAAGGTATGATTACTTATGTATGAATACCAATTCATTTTATTAACTCAATATAACTTCTGTTAATTTTCTCTTAAAAGCACTATATATTCTTTCAAATTTTCTAAAAAAATAATTGTCCACCTGAGATTCTCTTTGTCATTATTTAAGCTGTTTAACCTCTTTCTTTCCCATAGATGCAACATTGCAATCCAGTTGCTATTGTCATTTACATAGCAAAATTTCAGATTAGCTCTATTCTTTAATTCCACCAGTTCAGAACTTTACAATTAGGATTCACCATACTGTTGCCTATGTTGTAAAAACAATACTGATTGGCTGACATACAGTCAAGATACTATCTTTAAAGATGATGTTGATTGGCTAAGATAGCCAATACATACTTCTGTAGAGTTGAATCACTCATTTCCTCCATGTTCCAAATGTAAGGAGAAAGTTCCACTCAGCTTTTCCCACAAGAACTTTGTGGAACAGACCCCTATTTAATTATTTCCTAGAATCTTGACTTCTTCAAGTCAAGGGTCAATCATTATCTATCCTCCTCATAATATTCACTTATAAGGTGCATGTGGTGAATAGAAAGACTTTCTATTTCATTTATCACATGCACTTCATTCATTGTAATCCTCGACCGTGAGTGGCCTTGTGTTAGATGAAATTTATTTACAAAAGGTTTTCCTCTCATTTATTGTAAGTCAGTAGAATATGGTCTTAAGTACATTAAAGAGAAGACAAAAAAAAAATCAAAATGATTAAAAAGAAAAACAAAACATACAAGTGTCTATTTTGGGTGCTTGTTTAAAGTACTTTTTAGAAAAGTATAATGATGAGGAAAAACAAACCTATCTTAGCAGCTCAAGAACTAACTTTGTATCAAAGTAAAAACCTCCAGTAAAAGGCAGGATCTAAATATAAAGTAATCTTATGCCAATTAAGGAATATCGGCTAAGTTTTCACAGACATTTACAGCATATACAATCAATATGGAAGATGTGATCTGACTACACATAGTCAAGACGTGAATCCTTTTTTTACATCTACATCTTATAGCAAGAGAAATCAAGGAAGAGAGAGAACCAATTATATTACCAGTCCTAACCAAGCACTTGGCACTTCAAAGAACTTTATTTCAACAATCCAAGAAAGCTAAGTATTTCAAACTATCTCTCTTCATCGACTTTTGTTAAAATTACCTGTGTGTTTCCTTGTTATTATCATCCACCAAAATCTTCTTGGTATGGGTAAACCAACTATTCATTTAACCCCAAAGCGCCACAAGTGTTTTCACAGACATTTACAGCATAATTACAATCAATATGGAAGATGTGATCTGACTACACATGGTCAAGATGTGAATCCTTTTTTTACAACTACATCTTGTAGCAAAAGAAATCAAGGAAGAGAGAGAACAAACTCGTGTCTGATATTTATAATCAAGGTAATCAGACAGGCTCCTGGAAAAAGAGTGGGAAAACTTGACTTGGACAAATGCTGGAAAAAGACTTGTACGTGGGTCAGACCCCATGAAAACATATTCACACATTCACGTACATACAAAATTTTCTAAACTACATTACAAACATATGAAACATTTCCAAACCAGCATCAAGAACTTTCCTCTTTGAAATACTCTGATCAAGCTTTCGCACACATCTTTACAATAGAAGATTGTAATATTCTGCATATAAATAATATAAATGTTGTCACCAAATCTATCCTTTTGTCGTAATTGAATATAGTTATCATTTGATTTTTTACTTAAATTTATGTTTGTGGATGTAGCATGTTTCATTTTCAGCAAAACATTTAAAACATTCATGCAACCTTTTTACATCCACTACAATGAAGTAGTTTTACTTACATATTTTAAACTAAATATTAATTTCTAAACTATATATAGTTCTCTCAAATTAAATTGTCAAGTATAACATGTGACATCTTATCACAGCTTCAAGTCAAGAGTCAACCATTATTTATCCTCCTTATCCTCATAATCTTCACTTTCTTCTACGTCTTACATTCATATCTGACACCTTGTTTAATTATCCTGTCTCTTGGATTGGATGAACTTTAGTGTTAAAAAAAAAAAAAAAAAAATTAAAATGATGCCAAATGTTAAGATAAGCTCCATTCTTTAGTGCCACAAGTTAAAACATTTACAGCTAGGATTCGCTATTCTACATCCACAGAGTAATGACCCACATTTCCTCTATATTCCAAATAAAAAGAGAAACTTCCACTCAGTCTTTGTCCCAGAAATTCATGAAACAAATTCCTGTGTGGGTGCTTCTCTGAATGCTATAATCTTAAGCTATTGAAATCATAAATCATTATCAATGCTCTTTATTCTTATAATCTTCACTTCCAACCACCTCTGCTTTCATTTATATCACACATCTCGTTCATCTCAACCATTTTAACAGTAACCCTCTGCTATGAGTAACTCTTTAGCCTTGTATTGGGTGAACTTTAGAATAAAAAGAAAAAAGAAGAAAACTTTAAAGATTTAGATATTTGTGCTTTGAAACAATTTTTAAGTTTTATTTAAAACAAACAACAAATAAATAGTTAAATAGAAAACTGAATACAGAACCCTTTAAAAAGGAACCAGTAAAATGATGTTATATTTTTATGTAGGCAGGGAAGGTGCTGTCAAGTTTGATGAAAGAAAACTCATCCCAACTTAAATATAAACAATGTCAACAGCCCAAAATGAATTTTTTGTTTTCAATAGCAAAATAACTGTTGATACAATGAATACTGATACACGCAGTTTTTATTGCTAAGCAGAATGATCATTGGAAAATATACATAAAACTCTCACAAACAATAGCTGTATTTTTCCCCCAAGAGGAATTGAATTCATCCAAATCCTTGGTTTTACTCAAAAGAGAAAATGTATTTTAATTGGTGTATGTTTTCATATTTATACTCAAGCCTTTTTAATAGAGTTACTGTCTCCTGTTGTTGCTGACTTACCTTCTTGTATACAGTCGAAAGGAAGAGAATAATAACCAATGAAATCATCTCCAGCCAAGTCATAATCTTTGACAGTGAAACGAACAATGCACAATTCAGGATAATTAATCTTGAATTCAAATGTTTCATCCCATCGAGGATTAAAGCCTAAAATGACAAAGGCAGAAAAAATTCAGAAGTATAATTACAATTAACCTATAGTAAAATTTGTTTTAAAAATCTGTCATATTCATGTTTGATTGGTTAATAAAATTATAATTCCACCTATGATAATGTTTTTAAATGAAATTTGTTTGCATCCTTAAACATATTTCTAGATATTTAAAAAATAAAAGAAAAATAATAATGTTTATATTTTATCTTTAACAATGTATTTAGCAACAACATATTGTAATTAATAAATGTTAAAACCATTTGGGCCACAAGTAATCACTTTTTGTGAGGGGTGGCTACAATACCTAAGTCAGTTATGTACCATGTGTGATACACACTTAGGCAATCATGTATCTTTCAATACATGACTGACGAGAGAGATTTTTTTTCCTGCAATAGTTGCCATTTCTCTCTGTGGTTGACCAGTTGCCATCCAAGGCTATAGAACCCAGTCTGTCCTGCTATTTACCCATGGCTGGGGGTAGAAGAGGATTCATACCTTTCTGAAGGGTATTAGCATGTATGTTAATGTAATGGATTTGACTGGAATTCGAACTAGGCTCTCCAATTCCTCAATCCAAGCCACTATCCATTACTACACCATTGATTTGAGTAGGGAAATATCATGGAAGCCAATATAAGAAATTTGCTTTAATATCAAAAATTTTCTGACTTTGGAAAAGGATCACCACTGAAGATCTTGTATCTTTTGATGTTTTTAATTATATATAAAGAAATAAAAATTTCCAGAGCAAGACATTATTTATCATTACTATAAAAAAGAATAATTTGCTCTTTTGCAAATATAACAAAACTTTTATTAACTAATCAAAAGTAAATTAACATGTTGGAGTTAACAGATTCATTCTCAATGATGTTGCATAAAATACAACAAAACAGCTTACCATTGTTCCTTATCACTCTGGTCTTCATCTCTTCTTTGTCATCATCCATGCCATGAACTTCAACCTTTACTATAGGGTCAATCACTTCTCCCTTCACATTATTCTTAGGCTTAGGAAGTTGATATGCACTAATGACCTATAGTTTGGAGAGAAATTAAATATACCAAATGTGATATCAATTCTGCAGTAACTGTATGCAATAATTCCAGATTATCAAGATATTTCAATGCAAAAAATCATCACATCTGAGGACATGTCACAGCAGAAATTATATTCTAGAACATAAAATAAACATTAATAAAACCTGTAAGGGTTCTTTGTCAAAAAAACTAATTTAAAAAAATGAAATAATTAGATTATATTGATGGTGATTATCCCACTTTGTCAAGACAGCTGCTAGGCAGTACTGTTTCAGGACTATAAAAGGATGGGGTAATAAATCCCCTTCCTCTTTTCCTCTGGCATCTAATAGTGACTAGCAGTAGAGCCCAGCGTTGCCCGGGGATATAACAGTAAGAGATAGATCAAGTATCCATCATAAAGATTGAAAAATAAAATTGACAAAGATTATTGTTTAAGGTTGACGGACACGCATGTCTTAATGAGTTTTTTTTTTTTTTTTTTAAGAATTCGTCAAACCCAAACTCAAACAAAAACATTGTTTTCAATCGTTATGAGTCTCTACCGATTTAATAGAATTTTATGATAAACAATTGTCTTGTAAATGGAATTTTTAAAACATTCTGAATGTAAAAATAAAGAAAAAAGTGTGCAAGAGAATAAGAAACACTACATGACAAAAAAAAAGTGAAGTTTTGTTGAAATCGGTTGAAAAATGTAGGTAGCCTTTCTGTAATCTTTTAGTTTTACAATTTATGATTTTTACTTATTGAATACAGTAAAAAAAATTGCATATTTTGCTTGTGGTGATTCATAATTAGAATTCTGATTTGAATATATTTTCCACTCGTTGTTTCTAATACAAAAATATTAACTTTATTTGGGTTTATTAATTATGATCTAACAAATCTTATTCATTTAGTAGCCTTTCTGTAATAATAATCTTTTTACAATTTATGATTTTTACTTATTGAATACAGTAAAAAATTGGACACCATGTGTATTTAAAGTAGTTTCCAGTTCGTTATTATTTTTAGTTAGGACTTGTGTATGTTTAGATTTCATTATCTTTCCTAAAGATAAAGAATTTATCCAATGTTTGTATTCGTACAATCAGTAGAGATCGTTAGATTATTGTTTAAGGTTGACGGACATGCATGTCTTAATTAGTTTTTTTTTTTGTTTTTTTTTTACGAATTGGTCAAACGCAAACTCGAACAAAAACATTGTTTTCAACCGTTATGAGTCTCCCGATTGAATAGAATTTTATTATAAATAATTGTCTTGTAAATGGAATTTTTAAAGCATTCTGAATGTTAAAAATAAAGAAAAAAGTGGGCAAGAGAATAAGAAACACTACCTGCCAAAAAAAGTGAAGTTTTGTTTTATCGTCTGAAAAATATAGGAAATGCGATCCCATATTTAAAGGAACCCACACACACAAACAACCCGATGTGAGTTGTCCCGCTTCCATTTTCACAATGTCTCTTAATCGTGTTTTCAAATTGATTTTGTGCAAAAACAATTATATTTTTCCCATTTTTGGTGCTGTTAGAACCACCACAAGGTAATTTTATGTAGTCCTGTGAAGTTTTGTTGAAATCGGTTGAAAAATGTAGGAAATCCGATCCAATATATAAACGTTACAGACACACACACACATAATCTGCATTTTATAATAAGTAAGATAACAACAGGACTCTTCTCTGCTAAGGAAACGCTTGGGCAGAGTCACATGAAAAACACATATGCTACAACTAAGTATGTAAATGTTTTCTTTCTGTTTTTCAAACTCATGAAAATAATTTTCTTTCTCTTCTTTTGAGAAGTATGTTGTTCTATATGAATGTGTGTATATATATATATATATATATATATATATATATATACAAAATTCCTGCAAATGTTGAATCAACTTCTTTTGAACATGTTGAAATTTATCCATTTTGAAAATATTGGATCCAATTTCTTTTAAAAGCTTTCAACCATTCCAAACAGTAGCTTCAGCCCAGTAACATATTGACTACCAATGGCTTTCATGTGTTGTCTTGATCCAAAGTTATTACAACTGTTTATTATTTACAAAATAAAACAATTTTCAAGATAAGGATTAATTAAGATCTTCCTAATAGTTGACCACTAATTTCAGACTATCCCTGTTTTCTAGGTTGCTAACCAATACCTATTGTAAATATCTACTTGGACACATTTATGTTTCTCCAACACCCACAGAGCCATGGTTTTTTTACTGCAACAATGTTGAGCAGACCTTAGTTACAGTTTCTGGGAAATAGTGCATTATCTGGCATGATCAACAATTTGAACAAAGCAAGTACACTGAAACCCTCTGTTACAATGACTTGTGACTGTGCTAGCACAAAACCATTAATAAACAATTGTCTACCAAAATTCACTCACAAGACTTTGGTAGACTCCTGATACTTTCCAATGGCTCTACATACTCTGATCACCTCCATGTTGATAACATCGAGAAGTCTACCTGACAAATCAACCACTGTGAGATTCTAACTTGGGGCCTCATGATCAGGAAGTGAACATTTTACTTGCCACACACTCATACCACTAATATACTATGGTGCAATATTGATACCTTTGTTTATATTGCAGTTAATAGATAACTATCAATTAATACAGTCTTGGTATGACGGTAAACTACATCCAGCAGTAAGGCTTCTGATTGGGAGATTGGAGATTTTGAGGAATGTGGAACCACCTCTTAATTGCAGTTGTTCCCAGGTCCATCCTGACCCAGGGTGGTAGCATCTGTTAGGCTGCCCAGCTATGGGAAAATAGTGAGCCACTAAACAAAACACAATGAATCTATAAAAATACATTTTTATAGTAAAAATATCAGTAATACATTCTTATATAAAAAAATGACCAACAATACATTTTATCAGTAGTTGAAAGCATATAATTGCATTCAAAATATATTTAACTGAAGTCATCGTGTTCAAATTATTTGGATTTTGGCATTAAATAACCCACAGAGGTAGATATGCTGCTAAACAAAATCAATCAATCAGTCTATTAATATTCTTTTCTTCTTCACTATTCCTGTAAGAATTTTATTGTTCCAAGACACCTGGACTTAATTCTCAGCCAATAACAGGCAAATGTTGCTTTCAGGAGAACTGTTAATTCTTTATGTCCATCTTTTGTCGTTTGGTGTATACTTTAGATTTTGTTGATTTTAGCATCCAAAACAATTTCTTTCTACCAAAAACTGATTTATGTTTTATAAAAAAAATATTTGAAATAAATTATATTGCATTTTGGATGTTATTTTTCATTTTAATTGGTTTCATTTGACTTTTCTAATCAAAAAGTGGTATTAGAATATGAGGTGAGCTAATGAACTCTAAGAGAAATGTAAAGGACTTAAGTTAGTGTATAGTATACAGAAATTGTTTCAAACACTAAAATCAAAAATATTCTTCATTGCAAATCAAGCTCAGTGTGACCGATTCACTTTAAATTTTAAGCTTAGAAATAACATTTTAATAAAGTACTATTGTATTATGTAACAATGTTATCCTGTTGTTGCTGAAATATCAGGTGTTTATTTATTCAGTGTAATATAATAAAAAAAATATTAAAAGAAAACTTATAGTAATACTCAAAGAACTTCTTTCCTCAGGCAGCTAAACTTACACACACATACACGTGTGTATCACACATGCATATAGACACACACATTTCCTGAGTTAAGTTTAGTGTCTTTTTTCCTTTTCACCTGTGTACACACTAATATATTTTTCTCTCTTGTTAATCCTTTATTAATTTGTATAAAAATACAAGAAAATATCCCAGTGTTGAAATTCATTCATTCCTTCTACTCTAACTTTAGTTGCCACTGCTTTTGGTTGAACCAGCAGCAATATCTTCAACAAGGACTAAGAAAATGTCAATAATCTTAAATCTTAATCTTAATTTTGTATTAACTAAATGATACTTTATATCGACAGTCACCACATTATTCAGTACAATATACAAATGAATGGTACAATAATTTTCTTAATTTTATCTGCAAATTGTTTCTCACATACAATGTCTTAATATACAACAATAGAAATAAATATTTTCAAAACATTTAAAATCTTGTTAAGAAAAATAGCAGTATATTAATTCTGACTATTGAGTTTCTGATTGATTAAACCTGATCTTTCAAATGAAACAATCCTAGACAGTAATTAAAGTGTTTTCGAAAAGAAACAAAACTTGATTTCTTTACTCATCCATTTATAAATTATCTTTTGGTCAAAAATTTAAAACAATAAGATATTAATGAAAATCTTAATTTATAAATGACTATATAAAAAATATATAGTCAACAGAAAATTTTCAGAAAAAAGTCTAGACTTGAAACTTTAAAATAGTTGTGAACAGAAAAAAATTCAACAATTCAAAATTTATATTTTTATTGATAAAACTATTATCATTATTTTAGTTGATTGAAATTCAGTAACTTGTAATTTACAAAAAAAAGAAGTTTACCAACCTTTATTCTCAGTAATTTAGAAGGACTTCTTACTGTTGATTTTCCTGTAATAAAGAGAAAAATATGGTACATAATTGAAATATCTTTTTTCTTCAGTGCTTACATGAAATTTTAGCTTCAGGTTTTAAGTGATTTAATATTATTCAGCAATCAAAATATGAAGTAAACAGTCGGGAACTTAATTTTTTTTTATATATTTTTCAATTAATACATTTGACTTCTTAATAGTTCGCAGCACTTTAAAGCAGATTAAAGATTTTCAACATTTCAACTACGTCTATAAAATAAGGGGAAATAACTCCTGACAGCTTATTTTTAGAAAAATAAGCAACCGAAAGAGCATGCTGTGTTATTTATAGAAAAAAGTAAAACAGTGCAAACAGATATATGCTAATTATTTGTCTCCTTTGATTTTATATTTTTATTAGTTTCCATTGATATGTTGTTAGACTTTACCTGTAGTGTTCACACCTGGCCGGCAGGTATTGATGTAGGTAGAATGAATCAGAGAGAAAAGTAAATTGAAGTAGAAGCCATGACAAAACATTTAACACTATTTTTGGAACAATTAGCCCTTTACGTATTAAAAATTCTGGTGGCCTTATGAAATTATTAAGTTACCTGGGAACATGTAGTCTGGTTTGAGAACATAGCCACAACCACCATTGTCCAAGAATTTTCCAGTAACAAGTTGCATAGGTGTGTCCTCTGTTTGGTAGTTAAGAGCAACTGGAAAAAAAAACAAATATTATCATTTGTAAGTGTTAACAGAATAGGAGAAAAGTCTGACACATTGATCTCTCTATAAGTAATGCCAACTTCTACTTTGGCATCAACAAATATTCTTTCAAGTTCTTTGCTGGGAAATTAAATGTGAAGGGTTAAGTCAGATGTTGACAGAACAGGGAAACTAAATTAGATATAATCTTTTAAATATTTCAGATTCTATATTTTTATTTGATCCATTTATAAAATGAGGATTACTTTTTTAAAATCAACAAAATTTACTGTGAATATTTTTTGTTATGATTTTAAATAGACTTTTTTTTTTTGCTTTTCATTTATTTTCTGAAAGGAAACAAACTTTTTCTACATATAAGACTTAAACATTTTAAAAGTCAATGTTTTGTTAAAAAAAAAAAAAAAAATAAATAAATGGAAAACTTTTGATTTTTTTTTTTTAAATTAATAGACAAATGAAATATCTCATTAATTGTAGTGAGAAAAGAAACACAGGTGTAATTTAACTAAAGCTTAGAATGAAGCATGTCCTATTGGACTTACTTGAATACAGAATACATATAAGGGGAGAAAAGTTAGTCTGTTTAATTTTCCGTTTCTGCAAATGTTAGGGTCTGAAGCCTCCCCAAGTGTTATAGATGCTTTGTATATTTGTATTTTAGTTATTGCTTAGAGGGTTATAGGTTTATGAAGTACAAAAGATATACTAATACTGTTATCTTTATCAAGTTACAGGTTTAAATCAGATAAACTAAGTTTTCAAATGAAATGAAACAACCTGCCTCTAAAAGTCTGGAATAAACTAAGTTTTAGAAACAAACAATAAAATAAGTTCAAGTTTATGTTCATTGATATTATTTTTTAAATGTTATCGATCATTCCTGCGTAAGAAGACGGAATGTCTGCTTGTCAGCAAGAACAGTAAGCAACAAATTAGAGATGTCAAAATGAAACAAGTACAGAAATCTGCGAAGTTTTCTTTAACAGACAATGGAAAATATGACACTGATATCTGAAATTGCACTGGAATAGCAAAAGATGTTTTCTAAAAGCTAAATAAAGTATTAAAAAACAGGAAAATTTTCATTAGAAACAAAGAAAAGAGTACTGAATTGCTATGTAATATAAATCCTTATATATGGTAATGGATACTGAACAGTTTCATCACAGATGAGGAGGAGACTTCAAATGGCAAAGATATGGTTCTATAGATGGATGTCAAGAATACCATGGATGGAGCATGTAAATAACTAAGTTTTAAGGAAAATGGAAACAAGGACACTTAGAATCAGAAAGAGTTGAAACTTTTGAGATATATGGGGTATTCACTCACACCATAGTTGTAGAAATTTTAGGCTTGTTTTCACAAAGATAAAAACAGGAAAATAAACGTACATGATACAGAAAAGCATGGTAAATTGTTTGTTAATTTCATACAATTTTATTTATGTATTTGTGTGTATTGATGTGTATTTTTTATGTTACAATTGTGTTAATGTACAGGTTATAAAAGGGAGAAATTTACTCCATAGTATCACAAGTTATATCATAGATAGGAGTTCGATACATGTCTTCTTGATGGTTCTTGGGTGAAGAGATTGAATATACTGTCTTTTGGTGAGATGTCTGTATTTCTGGCAGGAACAGTTTTTGTTGCAAGTTGGGAGTAATTTTATTATTTTAATATTGTTTTATTTTATTTATTATTATTTTATATTTTATTTTTATAGACACAGACACATAAAGAGGAAAGAGATCTTGGAGAATTTGACACTCACAGCTTATATTGAAGACAAGAGGAACAGACGGAAATAGCGAGTAACCTACCTATCAAATTTGTGCAAATGTATGGCTAAGATCTGCAAACGACAGGAAGTTGTGGAAAGCCATGATCACCCACATTCTGGAGGAACATGGCACATAAAAGAAGGAGTGAGAAGCAGTTAATTTACACTTACCAACTTGACAGCCAGCATTCCACATCTGGGTAGGATTATAGTTACTGGAATCAGTACGCAGACCTGCTGGGTAGGTTCTTACCATAATAGCTCTTGTCAAATTGCGACACTGCTCCAAACCATCATCATCTAACAGATCACCCATCTTTAGTTCTCCAATGGAGGTCATCTTAAACTGGTCAGCTTAGAAAAAAAATTGGTTAAAATCAGATTAAATGTATTTATAAAACCAAAACATTTTTTTATCAAAACATCAACCCATTTCCTCCTGATGTCAGTTTAAACTGACAAAATTCCACCTATATTGTGACCATTTTGCTTAAAGTTTATATTTTCTTGATTTCAGATGAAGACTTGGAATTTTAAAAAACATTTCAAGAAAATTTTCATTTTTCAAAATTAAAGTTTATAATTATAGTTTAGATATATGGAAAAAAAAAGAAGGTATGAGAAGGAATTATTCATTCATTTTTTTTTTTTACAGATTATCAACCATTTGGGTGTTATTTAAAGCCAAAACATATTTTGGATTGTAAGAACAATTCCTTTTTTTTTTTTAGATAAAAATGTCTTTCCTATAAACAAGTCCCACTATTTAACCCATAGCTGGAGAGAAGAATGGATCATTCGTTTCCCAAAGGTAAGAGAGCCAAGTTAGAGTTCCAGTCAAATTTGTTAAACTCAACTGGAACTGGAATTGGCTCTTTGATTCTCATTCCATTACTCCACCCATACCAGGAGGATATGGGTTAAAGAAAGAAACATTTTATATATATATATATATATATATATATATATATATATATATATGGTGGTGGACTATCCTGATGTGAACAATAAATGAGGATTCAGCATTGAATGGTGCCTTTCATTTTATACTTATTCATGCTAGCAGGGGCTATTGTGGAGAAAATCAGGTAAGGGAAAGACATATTTCATTTGTGCTTTCTTAAGTGTGATACTAGCCCAGCCTTGCTGCGGGTGACAATTTATATATATTATTAGTCTACTAGTTCAAACTGATGCTTTTTTTATATATTGTAACCATTTTGTTTAAAATTCATATTTTCATGATTTTAGAGTGCTTATGGCCATATAATGTTAAAACAGTGGTTTTGATACAATCACCAAAGTTAAGCAACATCAAGCCTGGTCAGTACCTAGATGGGTGATCGCTTGGGAATACCAGGTGCTGTAAGCTTGGATGTGTGGGTGGTGTAATGGATAATAGCTTGGAATTGGAAATCAGCATCCTGTGTTCCAATATATATATTTATTATATTCACTTGCACACAAATGCTTGTGGGAAAGGTATGAATCTATGTCTTCTCTCTTCAGCTATGAGCTAGTGTTGTAACCTAGGGAAGGTTAGTGAATAGAATAATCATATGAAGGTTGGTAATGAACGATAATACTTAGGACAAAAACAACACATAAGATTCACCAGCAGCATATAAAAGTAGTAGTCAACTGCTAGAAGTGAGTCAAGTGAATTCCACAATGAATCTAACTGCAGACCAACATACAGTATTTAATAATGTATTTATGTGAATGGGGCCATACCTATTATCGTCCGTAGGTATTCTACAATAGTTAGTAATTAAGACTTATATTAGTAAATCATTATAATCTCAAAAAAATTCTTACCATCTAAAATATTTTCTGCCTTTAAATAACCTGAAAAAGCTTGATAAGCCATAAAAAATCAATTTTGATTTTAGATGAAAACTTGGAAACTTCCCAAAATATTTCAGTGAAATCTTCACTTTCCCAAATCATTCCAAATCAGTTTATAGTTATAGTAAACTATAATTATATGGAAAAAGATATCAGTTTAAATTGATTCTAGGGGGACATGGGTTAAAAAGTACATATATTTCCTTTTTAATTCTTCCATGATCTTAGAATATAAACATGAAAAATACTCAGAGTGTTTACAGTTTGACAAAGTTGATTTCCCTCGTTCTTTCTACTTCTGTAGCTGCATGCTGACTAATTTGTTTTCGTAAAGCCTATCAATCCATGTGTGTTATTTAAAGCTGAAACATTTTTGATTGTAAGAATAATTCTTTTTTGTGAGTGGATATTGCATAAACAATTTCTTTTAGAATAATGATGATCTTTCCCTACTACAACTCCCACTATTTAACCCATAGATGGGAGAAGGAAATGGATTCATACCTTTCCTGTAGGTATTTGTGCATCGGTGATTGCAACAAACCTGACTGGAATTCAAACTGAGCTCTCCAATTTCTCATTTTGAGCCACTGTCCATTGCACCACCTACATATTTAGCCTGACCAAGAAGAGAGTTCAAAATAATTTCACATTTTTGGTTATATTTTGTGAAGTAGGTCAAATTGAGAATTTTCCAACTCCTCCTTATACATTATCTTGTAGGAAGACCAGTTCTAAGTAAAGGTAGATATTATTTAAAAGGCTTTAGCATTCAACTAAACAATAGCTGAAAATGGCAAAGTAATCAGTTCCATTTCAGAGCTATTACCAATTTACTGACTCTTAATATCAAAAGTTTTTAGGTTACCAAATTACAAAAACTACTTTTTATAATTCGTTACAAGATGCTCCTTTCTTGCTTACACTTTATGGCAGAAGTCAGCAACCTTTTACAGAGAGCACAGGCCAGACAGCTATGCAGGATCTCGTAGGACAGCCATTATATCAAATGTACTATAATAAATTGTTTTGACCTCAGACCGCTCCATACAGAAGGTTCCTTATTCTACTGCATGAATAACAAGATAACAACTAACACAATCAAAAAAAAATTCAAATTCCTTTCTACAGACAAAATACAGTTAGAAATAACAGATTATTTAATAAGACACTTGTTCCTGCTTATTGTTCAATAACTTCTCCACATCAGGTGAAATATTTGTTGATGACAGGAGCAAAATATGATTCAGGTGTTCATCACCCAGCCTTGTTCTTAAACGACTTTTAGTAGATTTCATTTTGTAAAAAGTTCTTCGTTCTTCACAAGCATATGTATTTTCAAATAATGATACCATCATTTCGCATTATTCAATAGGTTTTTTTCTTTCCACTTGGAAAAACATATTTCTTGTAGAAGTCAGCAGTGCATTTGGAATTAAATTTTGATTTAAAAAATGTGTTGCATTGTAAGTCAATTAACTCCAACTGGTATTTTTTCTGCCACTTGCTCCACAAATTAATTAGGCCATTAGTGTCTAGGTGTTAAGTTGGCAGGCTGGATAAAAATAGTTCACAGGCCAGATGTGGCTCATAGGCCAAGGCCTGCCGACCCCAGCTTTAAGGGTTCATTTCACTTGTTTTTGCCACTGGTACAAGCAAAATCCAATCATTGTATGAAAAGATAATATTCCAGTAAATGTTTTAAGTGTAATGTTTGTTGTCAATTTAAACAATGTTCTGCATTATTTTCTTATATCTATTTTAGGCAAAATCTTTTTTACATCTTATTTCTTATGTCAGGTAACTCTACAAATGTTGCTGCTATCATGTAACCTGCCACATAGTAATGTCAGAATTTCCTGTGTGTTAACCCAGATCAATATACACCTGATGAAGGCCAGGGAGTACAACAGCTGAAACATTGTGATAACAGCAACAAAGATGAGGGCAATAGTGTGAATGTAAATAGTGTAAATAATAACTCCTTATCCCAGAAATTCAGATGGAAACGAATGTTTAAACTTAACTAATTTTTTTTTTATTAAATTTATGTGGAAGCCATTTTCCTAACTTCCAAATTTTCTCCACAGATTGTAAATGCCATAATGATTGATTGTGAAATCAATCAAGAGCTGAGTTTAAAAATTGAAAGATTATATTAACATATAAGAATTATAGTTTTCAATCAATAAAATTCCATCAGAAGGTTTGTTTGTTAAACAATCATTACAAGGGCAAATACCACCCGAATACTTGCAGACATAGTTGTAGACCTACCATGTGTCATTTTTGGACCATTTAGAAAATAACAATAATAACTCCTTTTACACTCCCACAAATTAGTCAGTGCGAAATTATTTTCTAACCAATGAAAACCTTGTATTCAAAAGTTCACATCTCTATTTTGAATCCCCTTATGGATATAAAAATGGAAGCATACTTCTTCTCACAGCTCACAACAATTTTGGAGGCCAGTTTGATCTATATGTGTGTACACACACAATGGAAGAGAGACAGCCAGCAACTGTCAACTAAAGCCTTGTCCATGCACACAATAGAAGGGATTAACCAGAAACCACCTACAAAGCCTTTGTCTATAAACTCACAAACACATTAGGTTGACCATCATAAAGTAAATCTGTTCATACATTTCAAGAATACTTAATTACTTGATAAATCAAACTTCACTGCAAGGAAAGTTGAACATTTTATTGATATTGTAAATTTCTGAAAAGAATATGTAATTGTTATGTCAGCTGAAGTTCTGCTTCTACTTTTCCTTTGGAAAATAACCTTTTTTTATGCTTCATTTAAAAGATGTGTCATTAAATGTTTGGAATCCCAACACTCAGATAACAACAAAAACCTGTGTAGGCAGAGCCCAGCAAAGATACCGATAAAAGGTGCTAATGGAAATCTGTCAATCAACTTAATTTTTTCATTTGAAATGTTTAATTTCAAAAATCAGGTTTCAGTTACAAAAAAAAAACTTACAAGATGAAAAAGAGCATTTCTTTTGAACCTTCTTGACATGAAGAATATATGACAAAATATTGCTTCCTTACCGTTATTCAATGCATGCTCAATGGATTCAAATCGTTGACTTCGAATAGCAATCAAATCACTGAAACTTTTGTCAAGTTTCACTTTCTTAGTTTTTACTTCATCCTTAGGCAAATCAATGCCATCTCTGGAGGCTTCAGCACGTTTCTTTTCAATTTCAATCTCTTCTGCTTCATCTTCATCACTAACATCTTCCTCATTTGCTGCCATTGGGGGTAATTTTTTTCCCTGGAACAATCAAATGAGAAAAGAATAAATTAGCTGTCAATAAACAATATCTAAAACTAAAGTTAAAACCATAAAATGAAATAAGCAAAAATAAATGACATGAAACAGAAAAGATTTTTTTTTAAATTAAGTTTTATCATTTTTAAAACTAATACATATGCACTTTTTTTTTCCAATACAATATCTAAATCTTGATTCCTCACTTTAGAAAAAATAAACAAATTACTTATATTTTAAAAATAAACTCATTTTTATAATTAATTGACTAGCTAGCTCAGTTTAGATTTCACAATCAATTTTTGGTTTGCATGTAAATATACTGATCTGAACATTTTTCAATAATGGTCTTATTTTGAAAATTTACACTTACAAGGCTAAATTCAAGTTTTAGAAAGGTTTCATACACCTTTGTGCAAATTAACTGAAAGAAAACAAATAATTCCATTATTATTTACTTTCTTTTCATATTTCTTCAATGAAATATGATCTAGTGCATATGTTAGTACTTCATATGTCCATTCCACAAAGTCATTCTTTGCAGATTGACCACAGATTCTCAATTGGAATTAAATCAGGAGAGTTTCCAGGCCAACCTATAGTACTTTGATTTGCTCACTGGTAAGGCTTGCCAGTGTGTTTTTACAGCATTACAGATTTTCATATGCTTCCTTGGAGTAACGTCCATCACAGATAATAGCCGTAGGACAACTAATCGACAGTCAAGACAATAGTGTCTGGGCGTGATGGCAATCACAGATAACGCAATATTTTTCAAGGCCAAACAAATTTCATCATACATCCTGAAAATAGATCCATATTACTGCACTCCACTGCAAATGACCTAATCTGAGTAAAAAAATGGAAATCGATTACACCCTGTCACTCCAGTGGGTCTAAAACTGATCGTATGTTGAAAGAAAGGAAACTAAAGTGGTTGTTTCAATTAATTTGCACAAAGGTATGGTAAAACTGATACTATACTTTGATTACAACTAATATGCCAGGACTCAAGCTTTTTGAGATAAGAATTAAAAGAAATTCCCACTTATAAACAATATTGAGTTTATTTCTAAAATAATGATTTGATTTTGTTTATCGATCAAGTAACACCTGAATGAATTTTGAATCATCTCTCAGGATTCCATCTGTTCATGATCATTGACAATTTTCTGATTTTCAAAGGAAAAATGTGTGTGCTAAAAAGAAATTTCAAGTTAAAAATTGAAAAATTTGGTGCATAATTTCCTCTGTTGCCACCATCACCAGAAATATTTAGTTTGTGCAGAAAGTGACTAAGACTGATAAATAGTGTAATAGTAAAGTCAGTGGATAGCAGTACAAACTGAAACTGTGTGTACATGCATGATTAAATATAAGTTCTAAGGATTATAAAAATTTATTTTGAACCACCTTCCTGATTATTGTTACATATTTTAAATGTCTGAATACTTTCAGCTTTCATAAGCTATTATCAAATATTCTTGTTATTTTTTTTTATTTACACTATATTGGTTTCGTCATTTTCAAATATCACATCTTCATGTGACAGTTGGTGTAATCTGGTGTTTTTTCTATTTTTATTTATGAAGTATATTAAGTATGTTTGTTCCTAAATTTTATAACATTTTATTGATGTTAGGTTGTTTATTTTTTTTTATACTTAATGCTTCTAGTATTTCTAGTTCATTTTCTCCTGTTTAAGATTTTTTGTGTTTTTTTTATTTTTTGTTATGTTGATTGGTGATATGCTATTTAATTTAACTCTGATCAGATAAAAGCCACGTTAACCAGCACATTAATGCAGTGTTTGTGTAAACAATGTATATTCTTTGAATTATTATTATTAGAAAGACATTCTCCAAGTGAGCAAGTAAATTCATAGACAAATTTGGTATGTTGAAGTTATATTTTTGTTGTATCATAGGTGATCACGTTGAAGGTTTTTAGCTTTTTTCATTAAGCAATTTTTGTCTATATATTAAGTTTCTTATAATTTTGTCTAGTTGTGGTTACCATGTAACTGGTTCCTGTAGAATAGTTTAATGGTTCTGTTTACTTTATTATTATTTATTGTTTGTTTGTTTTTATTTATTGTAGTTAGTTTATTTTACTTATCAATTGTGTTGTTAGGGAAATCACTGTTGATTAGCATTTGTTTTCTGTTTTTGAGCTCCTTAAGAAATATTGCTCCTGTAGAGGATCCTGTAGTGCTCTATTAAGTTATTTTCAAAGGTTGTTGATTATTGGCTTTGTCTTTCTTGTTAGTTAATATAAATGTCATTAATATAGTGGGTGTACATTATTAATCTATGGTGATTTTTTAAAATATTGTTTTTTTAGGGTTAACATGTAAAATTCTAATAGTATTGGAGTAATAGGTGAACCCATGGCAATACCATCAGTTTGTGCATATCTATTTCCTAATTGGTCATAAAAGGAAACTTGTGTGGTACAGGTGAGCAGTAGTTTTTTTTGTTTTTTTAAGTATTGTTTATTTTGGGAGATGAAATTGATGATGAAATAAGTAACAAATATATAAATTTAAAATGTTTTGCTATTTATTTAGCCTCATCAGAAATCTTTGGAAATGAAATAATATGCAGTTATATTACAATATTTTAACTCTGCATTATTTCACTTCCAAAATTTTCTGATGAATCTAAATAAATCTTGAAACATGTTAAATCCAATAGAATGATTGCATAAAGAACAAGAAAATCTCTATAAATTTAACATGTTTCAAGATTTATATATATATATATATATATATATATATATGCCAGGTTCAAATGTACTTGGTATTAAAATATAACATTAATTTTTTTATTTTTTTTTTATTTAATTCTCTCCCTCCCCACACTGCCATCACCAGAATATATCTTATATCACTTTATATGTAATTATTAGAATGAAAGTTTGGACATATTTGTTTCATAAATCCTACCTGTGATATTACTGATTACATAAAGATCTACTTACATAATATATGAAATAAATGGTTGGTTTGTATGCTTATAACTTCTTAGAAAAGTCACTTGAGGAAACTGAAATTTTTAAGCTATCCATTTACAAAAATGATTTCTGCTTTTCATTCATTTGACCTTGGCAAGTATAGAAAAATACTTTAAAATATTATAAAAGTATTTCATTAACTTATCTTATTGCAGCATATAAATATTTATGTCTACATTGTACTTAAATAATTGAAAAAAAAAAAAAAAAAATCAATGGAAGAATTTTAAACTATAATTTTTGGAAGAAAAATGAAACACTAAACAAATTTCACTTCGTCACTATTGTCATTACTTTTTGTAGACTAAATTAAAATAGAGAGACCTTCAAAGTTTGTCTACCAGTTTCACTAGGCAGAAAACTGAATACGAAAGGAAAACAATAACAGATTAACTATGCATCTTTCAAATGAAACGGAATAAAACCATATCAGTCCTTTTATGCATGATTTATAGTCAAAGGAAAAATTACTACAGAATAAAAATTTAGGCAATGTTTAACTTTCATGCCTGAAAAAAAAAAAAAAAAAAAAAAAGTGTGTCCAAAGTACAGTTTTCCTTAGACACCACTAAAGCTGTAAACTCCTTCACTCTACCAGCAATGTTTATTGTTTTTAAAAAGCAATGATTTTGAATTTTAATAAAATCCAAGAATATTAAAATGGATTTATACATTTTATTTATTCTTGAAAACTGACAACAAAGACATTAAACACTATTTATTTATTTGATTGAAAAAAAAAAAAAAGAAAAAAAAAATTGTTTCCATAGTTACTTATAAAAGAGTATGTTCAATTCAACAGTTGCCTGCTTTGATTCTGTTGGTGGGTCTCCCTTCAGTGAGAGAACAGGAGCGGGGGGGGGATTATTGAATTATTCCCTGGAGCCATAGAAACCAAGTTTGGAGTTATAGTTACAGTAACTGCAGGGGAATAAGTCCTGGTCACAGTTCTCATGGGAGAGATTCTGCCAAAAGCTGAAGGATCCAAAAACTGTATCTGGTTCAGGTGTTGTACTACAAGATGTAGTTGGGTTTGCAGCATCTTCATTTTCAGTTGATGCTTACTGATTGCCAAATGTCCCTTCATTACTGAGCACTTTCCAGTCTGTGTGTTGCTTCTTGGGCAATTTGAGATATTGGAGAGCATCTCTTGTCAGTAACATGCCACTCTGTGCTTGATTTGATACTTCTACTTGAGCTCAAAGCAGAAGCCAGCGATGAACTCATGGTAGATTCCTAAGACTAGATCAACTTCTCTTTTGATACTGATGTAGTATCACAAGTTAACTCAATCCCTGGAGCTACAGAGTGGCACATAGAATTCAAAGTGGAAGATGTTGATGTATTTTTAACGTTAAGTCCTTAGAGTGCAATGGTGAGGAAGGGGATGAAGAAAGGGGAAACGGAAATGAATCTCAAACATTATTCTGTTCCCTAATTGATGTCTTAAGCAGGTTGGCATTTCCAGGAACTGAGGGGGTGGCATTGAGGCTCTGGTCAAAGACAACTTTGATATCACCAGTGGTGACAGAGTCTGCTGGTTTGCTGCCACCAGAGCAGTAGCTTTCAAGAGACTTACCTTTTGGAAAAGTTGGCTGGGGTAAACTACTGTACCCAGACTTGTTCTCTAGGTTTCATTCAGAGTCACCATGTACCAACTTTGACAGCTGCTTCTCTCCTCTTTCAGCTACTTTCCCAGCAGCTACAGGTTTTCGATGTTAGTCAGAATGCCATTTTTTATTTACACGACAATCCTTAACTTGGCTTTTCCACACTTGGAAGACAATTTTACCGTGTGTCCTTTTGAGTAACTGCCAATACTAAAGAACTCCTTCTCTAGCAATGAAGTGGTTTTTGACTGTCATTGCCAGTGACTATAGAAAACTTGGACAGGTGAAAGCTCTGAAGAGAGTGGTTCTTGCAATGGTATGCAGTACCAAAGTCATTCACTGCTGGGGTACTCTATGATCCATTAACTACACTGAAAT